TTTTCTAGTTAGCACAGTGCCTTGTGCATAATACATTCCTAGGAGATTCATTGGTCGATCTATTGTTGAGATTCTGTATATAGCGCTTTTCCTGCCAGACTGTACTGTAGAATATTTAAAAATATTTACCTAAAAAGATAGTAAATACTTAGAAATGTTCTTTTTTTTTTTTAATGATGGGGTTACATGTAGCATTAAAAATTTTTTTTCCTCATGATCTGATATGATTATGGCATTAGCAGGAAAAGGAAAAAGTATCATTGTGTTGTGTAAAACTGAAATATTGACTTGGAGTTACAGTTAACATTTTTGTTTAAAAATGTAAAATATAATATTTAATATTGACTCATAAATATATTAAGCTGTTAATTTAAAGTCAGAAAATTTTGATGCAGGCTTGTATAGCTTCCTGATTGTTTTTTTTTAACTGTAAATACTCAGGATTTGTTGTTCTAATATATGTCTAGAGGGTATCGTCTTTTTAAATTTAATTCTTTTTTACTTTCATAAGGACAGAGCAGAGAGAAACTATCTCAATATGTAAGAGAAGATAGAAGCAATGTACTCATCCATTACCAGATAAGAGTAACATGACAGTAAAACAAATGTTGGAATTTTGTTCAGAATTCAGAATATGTTATCTTAAATATAATTCACTTGCATTATCAGGTCACAGCAATGTCCTCTTCTTATATTATTCCCTTACAAGCTGAACTTGGTCTGAAACCATTAGCTCTTCTGCGCTCCCTGTGAATGGCTGTGAACCCTGTCTCTGGTGTTTAAAACTACCCTCTGCTGGTTTCAGATTTCATTGTTTTACCTTAGATGTGAGCTAGATGCCATTGTAATAATTTGCATTTGGGACTTGTGGCTACAGTTAGATAGTATAATAAAGCACATTAGGAATTGCATTGCACATACCTCTAATTGACTGTTTCATTAGGGAAAAATGACATTTTTAAAGTGTTAAAATTGTTAAAATTAATATTTCCTGGACTCGTGTCTAAGATCTAATGGTCCTTTTTTCAGATATTCATAGTCAAATATTTAATTCCTTGTTCATTAATTCATGTGTGTGCAAGTGTATGTATGTGACTAGACTAAGCTTTACACTTGATCTCAGCCAGAAGGCCAAGAAGAGATAGACTAAGCTTTAATCCTTAGTTTTTACAGTAATGAATTCTGAATGTCACAGGAAATCAAGTTTTACACTAGAACTCAGCTGTTGGTGATGGCTGAACTTGGGATATTTAAGCTTGAAGGCCTCAGAGCTGGAATGAGACCCAGGTGGAATGATGTAGTGAATAGAACCACAGAATCACAGGATAAAAAGTGTTATTTCCTGGGCCCTTCTCTTATTTGAACTGAATCACAGTCTCTTGGACTAGGGCTCCAGACTCCAGGTAACTTCTTTTGTATGGTGAAGTTTGAGAACGTCAGATTAGTGACTTTTAGGAGTAAATTCTACCCTCGATGTAATATTCTATGAACAGCATATATCAATTATTTTGAGATTTGTGGGAGTAAATACTAGTCTGATGTGGAATTGGTTTTTATTACCAATTATTGATGTTCTATGCTGTTGGGAACTACTGAGCTAGCAAAGGTAAACAAGAAAGGAGCACATTATCAGATAAAAGTAGCAGCCAAGACTGGTGATCTCTGCTCTCAGAGGTTTCAGCTGTGACATGGAAAGTGAGACAGTTGGTCACCTGATATATTATTCATACTTTAGTAACAGTGTTCTTTGAGATATTTCAAACTCTTTGAGGTCACAAAACATCTTTGCAGAAGTTTGACCAACTACTGAAGTTATGCTTCTTGGAAAGAAATTAAAACAAGACAAGTATAAAGTAAAATGGGAAAGCATCTTTCTCCATTTCTTCTGTTTGTGCTACGTAGGCGTTACCTTTGTTTATTAAGATTTGGGTGTATTCTTTCAGATTGTTTCTCTGCTCATGAATATACATGTCTTTACCTATACTCACTTATATGTTAGCATATTTTAAATATTGATATATGTGCAAACAGATTGCGCCTCTTCTTCCAAACAAAGGCTATAACAATTCGTGTTCTAATAATCATTGAAGGATATTGTAGCCTTTAATAATGTTATAAATCTGATAAGGACTGCACTTTACTATTAGTGAGTTTGAACATTTTTTTTTTTTTTAAGATTTTTACTGGGGAATTGGGGAAGGGGAACAGCCAAGTTGTCCTTCAATCTTAGTTGTGGAGGGTGCAGCTAGCTCAGCTCCAAGTCCAGTCACCATCCGGCCGCCCGTTGGCAGCTCGCGGCAGCTCAGCTCAAGGTGCCATGTTCAATAGTAGTTGTGGGTGGGCATAGTCCACCATCCCACGCAGGAGTCGAACTGGCAACCTTGTTAGGAGCATGTGCTCTCACCAGCTGAGCCATCCTGCCACCTGTTGGCAGCTCAGCGACAGCTCAGTGGCAGCTCAGCTCTGGCACAGCTCATTGGCCCATGTGGGAATCCAACCGGCGACCCTGTTGATCAGAGCTCGCGCTCTTAACCAACTGAGCCACTCAGCCGGCCTGAACATTTTTTTTAAACGTGTGTTCTTTATTTTGCATTTCTTGTTTGTAATTTGCTTGCTGATATCCTTTCCCTATTTTTTTTTTAAAGATTTTATTGGGGAATTGGTGAAGGGGAACAGACAAATGGGGGAGGGGAACAGACAAATTGCTGTCCTTTTGTTCTTCAGTCTAGTTGTGGAGGACGTGGCTTCACTGGCCCATGTTGGTATTATCATTGTGCTCTTCCCGGGTGAGGCAGTCGCTCACTGTTGGACGACTGCTCACGGCGGTTCACAGCAGCCCACTGCAGACCCACTGCAGCCTACGCCGTCGCACCTTTCCCTATTTTTAAGTTAGGTTGCTTTTTATTTTTATTTTTGAAGTTCTTTGTATCATATAGACATTTAGCCTTTTGTCTGTTACATTGAAAATAACATTAGTTTTTAGCTTTTTCAATAGTGTAATAACATTTGCTTTGTGCCAGTTCTTCTGAGTCATTTATGTGTAATAATATTTCATTTAATCCTCACTGTTGTCATCTCCACTTTATGGATGAGGAGACTATGATGCAAGGAGGTTAAATAACTGTTTGAATACGTATGACTACTAAGTTGGAGAGTCAAGATTTGCATCTAAAAAGACTGATCTCAAAAAGTACACCTAGGGCCTGCCGAGTGGCGCAATGGTTAAGAACTTGCTTGGGATGCCAGAGGGCCTCGGTTTGGATCCCACATATGAGGGCCAATGACACTGCCCTCTACAGCTAAGATGCTGAACAACAGCTCAACCTGGAGCTGGGCTGCCATGAGTCGCCGGCGACGGCGTAGGCTGCAGTCCCTGTGGCAGTGGGTTGCCATGGGCTACCGTATGTAGCCAGCAGCTAGCGTGAGCAGCCAGCAGCCGCAGTGAGCGGCCATCCAGAAGCCGACGACTGATCTGCCTCGCCCGGGAAGAGCGCAATGATGGTGCCAACTTGGGCCAATGAAGCAGCATCCTCCACAACTAGATTGAAGAACAAAACGACAGCAATTTGTCTGTTCCCCTTCCCCCAATTCCCCAGCACTGTTCCCATCCCCCCAATTACCCAATAAAAATCTTAAAAAAAAAAGTACACCTAACCTTTACACTATATCCATACTTACAATTTTTTCTAATGTAAAAAACTGAAAATTTCAAATTTGATATGAACCTCATTTTTGTTTTGAAAAAAATAAAAGTATTTTTAAGAGACTGTGATGATTTTAATACAAATATTCCTTTAGGAATAGTAGCAAACATATATCTATGGTAAATAGATATAATACTGTGATATATTAACACAAATAATCCATAGACTTTTGGGGACATTTGTCCTATTTCTATTTAGAATTAACCCTACGGAACATATTCCCCTCTATTTTCTACTTCTACTGATTTCATACTAGCCTGTTACTCTTCCTGTTGCCCATCATTTTGCCTTAATCCATCCTCAGCAGTGCTACCTGGATAATCGTCGTTAAGTGCAGTTTTGATCCTGTCACTTACTTCTTTGGAAACTTTCAGTGATATCACGTTTCTTGCTGAATGAGGCCAGACTTTCCTTAGCAGGGTCTTTGAAGACTTGTACAACTCTGCTCCATGTGTACCTTTCAAGAATTATCTTGAGCAACTTTTCTTGACACTTATTCGTGTGCAGATAAATGGGATAATTTGTTTTCCTTCTTTTGGGCTTGCATAGAACCTACCAAAACTGTTCTTGTGTATAGAATAATATTATATGAAGACCTGACTTAGGGAAATAGCTATGTAATCACTTTGGAAGCAGAAACTTACAACTTGGGGATTTAGTGAATTAGCAGAGAAAGATAGGAATCAAAGTTTACTCCAAACAAGAGTTCTAGCTTGAGAAATAAACCATTGATGATGCCATTAGGAAGACTGGGAACAGAAGACCTATTCTGTATCTGCAGATATATTGCTAGAACCTTTTCAGATTATTTTCCAATATTTCAGAAGCTCCTTTATCCATATTTGGATTTGAATAGAGTTTTGGGAAGGTGCTAAAATGTTCAGTTTTGGCATAGATTTCCACAGTTTAGGAAAGACACTGAAAAAATATTTTCTGATAGAGTTGTGTCTGAGTCTTTAATGCTAGATTATGAGTAACACCTCTCATTGGGGGATGGATTTTTCTAATGCATAGCACTTAGATTAAACAGGGTGAGCATAAACCTGTTTCCAGTCATTTTTCATCTCTAAGTAGATGGTAAATGGGCATATATTTTGTTATGTGTATGTTTTCAGAACATAATGTTTGAAAGTTTGATCTGTTTCAGATAAAGGAATAACAGTAATGTTAATTACTCCCTCATTTTGATAAAGTGCCTCTGAAAAACTTGTGCTGGCAAACCATATTCAAATTTTTGTTTTGGCATTTTGTCCCCCTGTTAATTACAACTAATTTGGCATTCTTTTCTCTTTCCAGATCACTCAACTTCAAGTGGCACATTATCTTTTAAGCCTAGTCGGTCATTGGTTACTCTCCCTACTGCCCATGTCATGCCGTCTAACTCCAGCGCTTCAGTTTCCAAACACAGAGAATCATTGACATCAGATGGCTCAAAATGGAGTGCAAGCCTCCTGCAAACATTGGGAAACCACGGTAGGGGGGAGCAGGACTCTTCACTAGATATGAAGGACTTCCGACCCCTCCGGAAATGGTCATCCTTATCCAAACTCACTGTCCCCGATAACTGCAGCCCGGGTGGCATTGCACCCACTGAAGAGTCAAGGAGTGGTTCGGAAAAGACAGGGATAGGCAAGGCTTTAACATCACAATTAAGGACAATTGGGCCTAGCTGCTTACATGATAGTATGGAGATGCTTAAGTTAGAGGACAAGGAAATACATAAAAAACGATCATCAACTCTGGACTGCAAATATAAATTTGAGAGCTGTAGCAAAGAGGACTTTAGAGCTTCTTCCTCCACTCTTAGGAGACAGACCTTAGACATGACATATAGTGCCTTACCTGAAAGCAAGCCCAATATGACAAGCTCAGAGGCTTTTGAACCTCTGAAATATTTAATGCTTGGTCAACAGGCAGTAGGTTCAGTTCCCATTCAGCCTTCTGTGAGGACACAGATGTGGCTGACAGAGCAGTTGCGGACAAACCCTTTGGAAGGTAGAACTACAGAGGACTCTTACAGTTTAGCTCCTTGGCAACAGCAGCAAATTGAAGAGTTTGGACAAGAAAGTGAAACACCAATGCAGGTAAGGCTCAAAATTGAGTGTTTGCTTCCCTCTAGTGGATGTTGTGAGTACAGTAGCGCGCTTGACAGTAAGCATGTGTTAATGTGTTGTTCATAGGCTCAGATTGCTTTTCCTTTCCCCTAAAAGTAAACAAGCATAGATGTTGTAAACTCTAAAAGTATTGCATTGATTAAACAAAACTTAAAAAATATTTGAGTCTGATTAACATGAAAAACTTGGTATCTAACTTGGCCTTTACTTCTCATTTGTAAAATGGGCATAAAAATAAAGCAAAACATATTCATTCTAAAGAAACTTGAATCAGAAACAAAGGAGTTGACATGGTATCATAGAACGTTAGCTTGGCAATATGAAGCCTTGGATTTTGTTTCTGGTTTTATCCAATTCAGAACCTGGATGATCCTCTACCCATCACTTAGTACTTCATGTCTCTGGGCCTCAGTTTCTTATTCTTTTGAGATATAATTGACATATAACATTAGCTTCAGGTACAACATAATGATTTGGTATAGGTATGTATTGCAAAATAATCATCACAGTAAGTCTAGTTTATACCCATTACCATACATAGTTACAATGGTTTTTCCCCCCCGTAATGAGAACTTTAAAGACTGACTCTGTTAGCAACTTTCAGACATATAATACAGGCCCCCAGCCCCAGCCTCTGGCAACTACCACCAATCTGTTCTCTATGAGTAATTTTTTTTAAGACTCCACATATGAGATCATATGGTATTTGTCTTTGTCTTATTTCACTTTACATAATGTCCTCAAGGTCCAACCAGGTTGTCACAAATGGCAAGATTTTCTTCTTTTTTATGGCTGAGTAATATTGCATTGTATATATACCACATTTTCTTTAGCCATTTATCCATTGATGGACACTTAGTTTGCTTCCATGATATGGATATTGAAATAATGCTTCAATGAACATGGGAGTGTATGTATATCTTTTCAGGTTAGTGTTTTTGTTCCTTTTGGATAGATACCCAGAAGGGGAATTGCTGGATCATATAGTAGTTCTCTTTTTAATTTTTTTGAGGAATCTCCATACTGTTTACTGTTTACCATAGTGGCTGCACCAACGGTGCACAAAGTTTCCCTTTTCTCCACATTTTTGTCAACACTTATCTCTTGTCCTTTTGATAATAGCCATTCTAACAGGTGTGAGGTGGTATCTCATTGTGGTTTTGGTTTGCATTTCCCTGATGATTGGTGATGTAGAGCACCTTTTCATGGAAACAAATTAATTCTGTCAAAAATTGCAAAATTTCCCTGGAGCAAACATTTTAAATTAATGTTTATTACTGCTACTAATAAAAAATAGTAAAGATTAGAGGAATCATTGCATACATAAATGTTTAAGTGTCTAATCACTATGCTGTACACCTGAAACTAATATAAAATAATGAATGTCAACTGTAATTGAAAAAAATAAATAATTCAAAAAAGATTAAAGGAATATATTCTGTGAAAGGGTAAGGAGATCACTTATCTAGGAACCTCATACATCTGAGTACAGCCCCGAAACACACACAACATAATGTGCTACATTCATATCGCATGTGCCTTCTTTACTCTTGCTTTGGAAACAGCTTTTATAACCTTGATTATGTATATATAAAGCACATAACCAAACAAGCATCATTATTGTGTCTGAATTACAAATCAGAAAAGAGTAACTTAACCAGATTTATTTGTAATTTATCAGTTCAAGTGATTGAAAGACAGGAAACCTAATTTTGAAACATCATGTTTTAGTTCTCAGATGCTTGTGATTATAGAGCAGGAATCAGGCAGTTATTTTTCCAGTTGGTGTCTTTACACAGAATTGGAGTTGTTCAGGGAGACTGAGTATTCTACCTGAAGTGTGAGAGAAAGGTAACAGAAAATTGGGTGAATTTAAAGAAATATGTATTCACTCCTTTCATTCTGCTTAGAGGAACCTCTGCTGTAAATAAAGCTTTCCCCAACCTTACAGTGCAGCCGAGGGTAGGGATCTAGGAGATGCTTTGTGGCGCAAAACTTATTTTTAAATCTTCCCAGTACATAGTGCAGGAAGAAGGCTACTAAGGGACAGTTTGCGTGTACCCTGGAGCGTCCTGTTTTTTGATTAACCTTATTTGGGATGGTCTCTTTATGTAATGCTTTTAAGTTTTGGAGTAGAAAGATGAAACTAGGTAAAGAAAACTTATACACTTCAATTGCAGTGTTTAAATGACTGCTTCTCTTCTAATTTCCTTCTTGGACTATTACAGGAAAATTCCTTAAATACCTTCTCCTTGGAGCATCCATGTACTATCTTTATTTTAAAAGCCCTCACCTTAGTTTCTTAAAAAACTCCTAAAACATTGACTTCCTTCTAGTCTAATTTTTATATAAAAAGAGACATAATAAGGATCAACCCATACTCTCCCATGTGTGAACATGTGTATGATTTTTAAGCACAACTGCCAAACTCTCACCATGAAACAGTTCTTTGACCACTAAGAAAAAGAATTTGGCTGAGAGTCTCAGCCTAACACCATCATAGATTTATATAGAACTTTGTAGCTCTCAAGCATTTCATTTCATTTGCTCTTCACAGACTTCTCCCTCAAAAGGTTAATATTGTAACATGCAAGTTTTACTCTTCTTAGGACTACGTCCAGAATAATTATTGAGTCAGCTTCAGTCTTATGTGTTTAGTGTTCCTCGATTCCTGTGGTTTCCTGCTAAATCAGCTGTAGTGCAGGTAATATAATACTCTGGAGCGTTTTCCTTTGTGAATGAAAAGAAGCCATCTGTGCCCTCGTTGGTTAGGATATGGGTCTCCATGTGCAATGGCCACCAGTGTCTTTTGATTCTTTCCTCTGTCCTACATAACCTCTGCCCCCTCTCCCTCCCCCAAAGCTGTCTGATCCTACAAGGACATGACAGAAGAGAAAAACAAGGCTTGTTTCCTCTTTGGAGAGAATGTACCCCTTTCCATGCCCCTCTTGCATGTCTTTCTTTTTGGTGGGTAGGTGGCAGTGGATAGGAAGGAAATGGAGGGTGTATCCTTCTGCACACAACAATATGCATTGAATTTCTCTAAGTTTACAGTGGATCTTCCAGACAGTAGTGAAGAAATGGTCTCTTTATTGACGAAGCTTTTATCCTCTTTTCTTAATATTTTCTAGGAGTTTCTAAGTTCTGGGTTGCAGTCATTAAAAAGAGGAAGAGAAAATTTTGTGCCTATTTAAGTCTTGGAGAGGCTTGATCAGCCAAGATATAGGTTCCTAATAATTTCAACATATTTCACTGAAAATTTTCTGTTATATAAATAGAAAATATTAATAAAATTTTGGTAAAAATGACAAAGTTAAGTGACTTGGATTTTGTCTAACATGATATAAGAATGAAAAGTTCTAACACAAGAGCATTTTATGTATTGTTACATCCTCTGAAAAGAAACAGTTTTTTAAATTTTGCATGCTGTTTTGTCTTAAAATTTTTTAATGTTTATGATAATATAACTGTGCATTGAAAGATGTAGACATTATGAAACTCCAAATAGATATGTAATTATGACACATGCATTAGTTAGCTAAAAAGCATGTAAATGATTTTTGTATGCTCGTACATGTTTTAATAAATAAAGTTAGTAATGTGTTGACCTGTTTTCATCTGTCAACTTTGTAGTATTGGCAGATAATTTTTTGACATTTTAAAGTGTGCTGTTACTTACAAGAGCAGATCTTTTTTGAAATTTATCATTTTTCCACTTTGCCATAAGACTCAAAAGTAATCAAAGGATAAATAATTTCTAGGTAGGAGGAAGTTCATTATTTTATGTAGGTGTGCCCTCTTGTGTCTGTACTAGGGAATCTTGATCTTATTTTATATGGAGAATGTCACCATACACAACCTATAAAATCAAAACTGCTTATATTACATTTTTTCTGGTCATATCAATCATGATCTTATTAAAGAGTGGTTTCACTGTGTTCAAGAAGGTTCATTTTAATATAGGTGATTTACATTAAATAACCATTTTGAACCAATTAAAATATAAAAGGCAACATTAAACATTTTAAAAATTAGTTCATTTTTAGGACTGTAAGTTTGGAGTTTATTCTACAGTAGAAAGTATTTGAACATTGGGTATTTAAAAATTTTTAAATACATTGTTTTATTTAATCTTTTTACACATCATGATAAACAGAATAAATAAGTTCCATTTAAAGAATGGGTTTCTGTTCTACATTGTACCTGAGTTAATGTAATCAAGTATAAGGTTTTAATTTCTATTAAAGGCAGAATGAAAAAAAATATTTGGTTTATTTAGGGAAAAACCCCCATATCCCCACAGTTTATAGTTTGAAGTTGATGTAATGAACAATGTAATGAAAGGAATAGAATGTTTTATTTCAAATTTTCCACTTATTTTTAAGATCATGCTGCTAATTATAGAACTTGGTTACCTTTTGCATGGGTAATTACTGACACCAGTGAGGTGAATGTATCTTTTAGGGGTCTCCAACCCATAGATGAGGCTTTGCTCAAGAAATCCCCGTCAGTTGAAGGTCTCTTTTCTCTCTGTCCTCAGATATTAGTGAGCCCCCCTCCCGTATCCAGTGCCACTCAGGGATTCAGAAAAATTTTAAAGCAATGTGCCCCTCACTAGTCTACCACAGCATTTGTGTTATAACCAAAGTCAATATTGACTTTTCAAATTCTTTTAGTAATTATACTTAAATCATATAGGAAACTACACATTCTCTGCTCCTTTAATATTTGCTATATTAGTAATACATGTATATCTTGAACTGAGGTTAAAATTATTGGATGATACAGTATAAGTGTAAGCCATTTTAGACTTAATTTTAAACAAAGTCGATTTAAATTACCCAATTTTGGTGAATGTATTTTCTATTGCCAATTTTTACTTCTATTTTATGTGTTGTTGGAAGATATTTTTAAATGACAGAGGACAAACTGAAAATGTATTCATCAAGAAAATAATTGCAAATTAGCATTTCTGGGTGTATAATGTAGTGTAGTCTAGTGGCCTACCAATAGGTGTTTACCATCTGGTTGATAGATTAAAGAAAGTAGCTAGATCCTGTCATAAACAATTGTGGGACAAAAATTTATTTCAAAATGTAATCAAAGCATTAATTAATTTTGGAGAGAGAATTCAAAATTTTATTTTTTAATGCTTGAAATATTACATTTTCTTTTTTTTCTTTTATTATTTTCCTTGCCTACATTGAGTATGAGGGTAGACATAGAATAGAAGACAACCTGTCAAATCATTCTAAAGTCTTAAGTTTCATTATTCCACAGATATAGTATGACAAGTTATGTACTCTAACTCAGATAATCAACTACAGTGCAATAAATTAAGGTTAGACTTTATACGTGCGTTATAAATTATGGCTAATCACATTGTCAGCTGTTAAATTAACCAACAGTTCTTTTCTGTTGATCAAAATGACCTGCAGAGAATAGATTTCTGGTTACCTACATGTACTAGAATTCTGTAATTCTTTGAAAAAATCAATTAAGAGAAATTTTATTTGAGAGTATGGCACGTCTTTTTCTACTTGATTATCATAAACTTCAAAAAATGTTACTTAGGTATAGAAAAATAATACAATTTCTAATTTAGAATGTAGGTTATGATAGTTATTACAAAGACTTCTGTATGATAATAATAACTGATGTGAGGAATCAGTGGGCTATTTCAAATGATGACACTTGATCTGGATGATTATTTTGGTAATTGCTGAAGACCTGAAAAATACCTAATAAACCCCAGAGGCCTTTATGGTACAACATAAATTATATTTACTCCAAATAGGGAAGCTAATGGCGTTATATATGAAGTGAACTTCTTAGCAGTGCGGCTTCAAAACTAGTTCATCCTCAGAAACGATTTGGTATAGAAACTTACAAGCTCTGCTGTGGAAATCAACATTTACATTATGCACGCTTACAGTCATATTAAAGTTAATTTTGATAATTGAGCCCTTTTCACATGTTTACAAGATGCAGCAGATGAATACATTTGCTAACAATTTGTCCTGAATCTTGACCTTTTCGCAAAGAAATTCTTCTACTTAAGAAGTGGTCTGTTCTCTCTTCACGGCATGCCAGCTTTTAAGCTGATGGTGATAAGTTGCAGCTCTGGAGATTGCATCAGAACTTCAGAGAAGCATCACGATGATGCAGATCAACAAGAGACATATTAAGATGAGACAGAAATTGATAAATAGGTTCTGGAGATTTTGACGTGCTTGTTGAGGCATTTCAATGGTTGAAGCTCTTCTTATAGCAGAGCGGGTAAGGTATTGGACTTTCTCCATGACACAGGAAGGCAAGGAAGTCTCAAGTTTTAAATGATCAATGGTAGAAAGTGGACAGCCAAATGTGAGATCACTCTCTTAGGTAGCCTGGAATGTAAAAATAGTAAATGGATTAGGATCATATATACAACCTAGTCTCTGAACAGGTAAAACACAATTTTGTATGAATTCATCTTCTTCAACATTGTATTTATGGCATTAAATATCTCTATAGTCTGTATATGCGTATGTGCGCACACAAGTGTTTTCCTGTCTCTCTTTTTTGGTGAGAGTCACCATGATGACTCATTTGTCTTGTGTTTGGAGTGTAGTAACTTCAGTTTTTGCCTCCTTCTTTCAGAATGACTAGAAGTATAGTTTGATTTAGGGTGCAGCTTGTTTGGGGCTATTCCCTTGGGCAAAATTTCTTACATATAGTTTCATTAAGACTATTTCTTTGTGATTGTAATCGTTGTGAACATTAGTGTATTAATACCTCCAGAGGAAATCTCATAAAAAGAAATGCATGCAATAAATTAGTCTTCAGATGTTGATTTTAGTCCAAAATAAAATAGTTAGGGCCGGCCGAGTGGTGTGATGGTTAAGAACTGGCTTGGGATGCCAGAGGGCCCCGGTTCGGATCCCACATATGAGGGCCAGTGACACTGCCCACTACAGCTAAGATGCTGAACAACAGCTCAACCTGGAGCTGGGCTGCCGTGAGTCGCCGGCGACGGCGTAGGCTGCAGCCCCTGTGGCAGTGGGTTGCCATGGGCTACCGTGTGTAGCCAGCAGCCAGCGTGAGCGGCCAGCAGCTGCAGTGAGCGGCCGTCCAGAAGCCGGCGACTGATGTGCCTCACCTGGGAAGAGCACAATGATGATGCCAACTTGGGCCAGTGAAGCAACGTCCTCCACAACTAGACTGAAGAACAAAAGGACAGCAACTTGTCTGTTCCCCATCCCCCAATTCCCCAGCACTGTTCCCATCCCAATTCCCCAATAAAAAAAAATCTTTATAAAAAAAATTAAAAAAAAAATAAAAATAAAAATAAAATAGTTAAATGAGATATGTTTTATCAGTACTATAATATATGAGGTTGGACAGTTAAGTTTGCGAACTTGTTACAACGATGTTGCTAACCTTTTTTGATATCAGATGGATTACTCATTATGAATATGTACCAACTGGAAAAACAGTTAACCAAGTTTACTATTTGGAAGTGCTGAAAAGACTGCGTGATCAAGTTAGACAACCTGAACTTTTCACCAACAATTCATGGCTCTTGCATCACAACAATGCACTAGCTCACACAGCACTGTCTGTGAGGGAGTTTTTAGCCCGTAAACAAATAACTGTATTGGAACACCCTCCCTACTCACCTGATCTGTTCCCCAATAACTTTTTCTTTACCCTAAGATAAAGGAAATATTGAAAAGAAGACATTTTGATGACGTTCAGGACATCAAGGGTAATACAATGACAGCTCTGATGGCCATTCCAGAAAAAGAATTCCAAAATTGCTTTGAAGGGTGGACTAGGCACTGCCGTCGGTGCATAGCTTCCCAAGGGGAGTACTTTGAAGGTGACTATAGTGATATTCAGCAATGAGGCATGTAGCACTTTTTCTAGGATGAGTTTGCGAACTTAATTGCCCGATCGCATAGATTCAAATGTTTGTCATTCCTTTTTATGATTTTATAGCTTTGTGGGATAAGCTGTTTTAAGAAACATTTTAACAAGACTTGATATTAAGTACTGAATGCTGTCAGTCTCAGAAGTCATACTAATAAAAATTATCTCACAGTCAACCACAATTTGTATTTACAAATGACCTGTACTTACAAGTGGTGGTTTCCATTTGCTTTCTTTCAGAGCTCCCACAGCTAGTCTGCCTAATTATTTAATTATTTGTGCTAATTAATTCACAAAACAAACAAGAAAAGCAATGCATTGTTATAGAAAAATTAGCCATAGATTAAAAATGAAATGTAAATTAAATGGCCAGAAGTAATAGCTACTATGATTTGGGAATATTTTGTTGTGAGTCAGGATTCTACTGTATAAATTTTGAAGTAAGAAAAATTAGAAATGGAATTAAAAAAACATAACCAACTGCCCAGAGGTAATGGCTGTTAACATTTGTTGATACATCGTTGTTAGTTTAGATAGTACTGCCTTACCCTAGCTGCCACATTTAATTTTCTCCCGTCTTTGTATATCCCATGAAAACCCAACTCAACCTGTCAGCTCCATTTCTGACAGAGACTAAGGATGAAGAAAGCAGAGAGGAGAAATGAAAGAACGGGAAAGGGGAAGAGGTGCATCATGCACACTCAGTGAGAACTTGGCATTCTTTTTTACAAGGAAATCATGTGGTATATGGTGGTTAGATTCTGCACTTTCAGTATTTCAACTTGGCTGTATTATGTATTAAACTGGCTTTGAACTTGGCTGGAGACTCTGGCCTCCTTCATATGAGTAATGTTGGTCTGTAGTGAAGATATCTCCATAGCCAACTTGTGTCAAACTTTATTCTCTTTAGGAGTTGGTAACAACTTGTGTTTCTGTAGTGTATATTCTCTAGCTTGTGTATATGTGTGTGTGTGTGTGTGTGTGTGTGTGTGTGTGTGTGTACACAGAGGGTGCCCAAAAATGAAAAAAATGTATGCACATTTAAAGAAAGGGAAAAAACTATATTAGAATTATGCTGATGGTAAACATTTGGAGCACCTCTTGTAACTGCAGAAGTCAAATGTGACTTGTATTCATCTTTTGCTAACGGTGTATATTGACTTACAATTTTAATACAGTTTTTTTCCTTTCTTAAAATGTGTATACATTTTTTTGGGCACCCTCTGTATATGCATATATGCCTCTAGCATAGATTCTTCATTGTCCAACACAAGTGGCTATTACTTTAATTTATCTATTACACTCACTACTTAGAAAATGGCAGCTTAAACTTGGTATATATTTAATATAATTACTTCTGTTTGGGTTCCTCAGATAAAATGCTATAAAGGGGTTTTCTTTTGTTCTTGAAGAAAATACACCTTTTAAGTTGTTTTCTGTTTATATTAGCTTATAGTAGACATAGTGAATTCATGTACTATTGAGTAATTGTGGGGAAGATTTCCTTTATTCCTTTATATATTTGACTAGTTGCTTTATATAAGGATATATAACAGTACAGTTAAGAAAGGAATAAGAGTTAGCATTGGTAATTCCTATTTGAACTTACATTTTTGTGCAGTTTTAGGACTTAAATGGCCTAAAAGTTCTGAATTTAAAAATTATTTTGAGACAAAACATGGAAAAAGAGGAAGCTGGCCAGTTGTTCATCATGAAACATCGTACATCCCAGAGTCATCCCCTATTCTGACACTGATGAGTAGTGCCTCACTCACATGAAACATGTCACCTTTCCATAAATACTTCATTCCCTTTTATGATTCTGTCTTTTGCACATGTTGTTCTAGCTCTGCCTGGAATGTCTCCCTACCACCACCTTTGATTCTTTGCCAGGCAAACTTCAGTTGATCCTTAAGGCCCAGTTTAAATATCACGTCCTAATGAAACCTTCCATTACTCTTTAAAGCAGTATTGATTATCATCTCTGCTGGTTTTCATTAGGGTGTTCCTGTGAGTATCAGGATAGCTATCAGGCTGTATTTTAATTTTGATTTACATATCTGTGTCCCCAAGTAGACTTTTAGTTTCATGAGTTAAAAGGACCCACCTATTTATTTTTGTATTTTGGTATTTAGTGCATAATTGGTACTATTTAAATAAATCAGTGATGTTGAATAAGAGATTTTTATGATTTACTTTAATATTTTTAGAAAATTGATGATAGTGCTGTGATTAACAGATTAACCAGTGATAGTGCTGTGATTAACAGATTAACCAATTAGAATAACAGAATGATAGTTGAACACATAATCTCCAGTATTCTCCTCAAGTCTCTTACTATTACAGATGAGGAAAATGAGGCGTAGTGGATTTACATGAGAGGATTACAATTTAGATAAATTGTTGGTAATGATGTGTACAAATGGGTATTTGGTGTTTGTGAAATACAAAGCACTGTTCCCTAAAGAGATGAGTTGTCTCCTGGTGGAAGTATAATGAATACACTTTAAAGATGGTCTCATAATATTTCAACATCCAACTATTATTGAGAAAGGATAGTTTGTTCCTGGAAACAAAATTGAGTATAAAAGACAACCAAAGACAGTGTCTTGTTTCTTGTCAAACTTAGAAATGTTATAACTCTAAAGTGATTTGTAGTCACTTTATAATCTTCTGCTAAAACCAAAACCAAATCTACTTTACATGGTAAAATGTTAACTGATTGCATTCATTGTATTGTATCCAATTTATTTTACAACGGTACGGTCTGAAATGTGTTGAGACCTAATTCTCCTGAACTTCCAAAATCTGTATGATGATAATAAACCAAAATTCATCCATACAAGATGAGGCCTCCTATAGTGTGTTGAGAATTGAAAAGCTATGTGTGGGGACAGCACAGTCCTGTTTTTGGAGTTGTCTGTGACCTTCACAACATAATAATTAATGGCATAATTACCAGGTATTGATTATTCTTTTCTCTGCACTCACAACCATCCTGAGTTTAGAACTCCTGCAGTTTCCCCCTCCTTTCTTAGAGCCTAGAAAAATAGTTTAACTTTTAATAGAGTAATATTTGGTAGAGCCTAGAAAAATAGTTTAACTTTTTTTTTTTTTTCATTTTATCTGATTTTTTTTTAGAGTATTCTTGTAGGATAATCAGAAATAGATCTTGTTGGGATGTTTTGAATTTCCATCTGGCTTAAACAGCCATGGAGACTGCAGTTAGCCCTTACCCTCTACCTCCTTTTAAAAGACAACAGTACGTGTAAATTAGGTGTTTGGGACAAGAGGGGTGAGTTCACTGTAAAAATTAATTTATCACCTAGGCCCTAGAATCAGAATGTTGAAAATACGAAAGATGCTTTGATAGGAGTTTGGTTATAGAAATTCCAGATCGCTGTCTGAGTTAAATGTAAGAGACAGAAAAGTGCCCACAGAGTATCTTGTATGTCGGTGGGATCTATGATTATTGTAATTTGTGTGTGTGTGTGGGTGTGTGTGAGGGGGGTGGGGGGGGGATAACTAACTCTTTACTATTCTTTACAAGATTTATAAAGGCTTTGGTTGTCCACTGTTCCTCTTTTTCTGAAAAAGGTGAAATTGTGAAGTAAATGCAAAAAAGTTCAAGATAATCTTCTGTTTTTTGTAGTAGAAGGAGAGAGACAAATCACAGGCAGTTCTAATCCTTCAACAGACATGAGCCACGTTAGGCAGCATTTTGGGTGAAAAGTACTATGTCAGCTTCTGTAGGAGTCCTCACATTGTCTCACAGATAGGAAATAGTGAGTCCTATTTCCTAACATAATGGCAGAAGCATTCTTCTGCAGGAAGAACCTCAGTAGACTTTTGAAAACTTGGTAGTCTGCTTTATGACTTGCTAGACAATTGATACCGTAATGATGTTATATATGCTGAGGGTCATCCCCACATATAATTTAAGCACTTTCAGTGCTTTGCAGAACATTCTGATCTTCAGTTTTTGTGGGAGTTTTCCTGCTGAAATTATAAATTCTTGATATTATTTTGTATTTGTGGAATTTAGAATTCTGCTTCCCTTTTATTTTTTTGCCTGCTTATTTATTTTAGTAAATGTGGGCATATTTTGCTAGTAAATTTAAGTAATATACATCCAAGATTACAGTCTGACATACGTTTTAGAATTTTTTTCCATTTAATTGGTTCACAAGATCAGGATTCTCTATAGATTTGAGTTTACACGATTTGTCTATATTAGGATTATTTGGGGATTTAATTTTTTCCATATTTGCAGCTAATCCAGAGGTGATTGTGTATACACTTTTTTTTTTTTTTTTTATTTTTTGAATTAAATCAGGACAGTTCATCATCAGATTTATCATCAACCTGTTAGCATCAAAAGTTACTTTGGTAGAGTCACTTTTCTTTGAGATTGACTAATGCTAAACTTGGAAGTTCTAATTGAAGTTATTTTGTGACAGCAACATTCTGGAGCTTTGTTGGCCCACACTGGCTATTTGAAAGAATCTTTAAGCTGCTTCTGCCTGTTTATGAAAAGAATTGTGTAAACATAAATTTAATATATTCTCAACCCCTAAATTGACCTCATAATGAAATGTGTCTTTTGCTTTAAAGCTGTGCCTTGAGCAGACTTTGTAAAGCAACAGCATACTCGTAGAGAGATTCTGTCTTTGAAACGGGAAGATTGCTATTGCTATTTTATCTGTAGGCTTGTCTTCATTATGGTTATTATGTTAAAATTAATTTATTTGCAAATAAAATATTCTTTTTAACCCTGTAGTAGCTGAGACTTCAGATTCTTCTTTTAGGGAAGATAATGTGGGGAGTGAAGGGAAACTTTTAAGGAAAAATGAATGCCTCCACTAATGTGAGTGAATTGGTTTCTTTTTGTTGCGGTTGTTTTTGGAAGAGCTGAAGGTGGAGTACATTCTAAAAAGCACTAGAGGTCCTCAGTGAACTACAAGTGTACTGGGGTGGAGCTGTGAATACTTAGGCCTCATTTTTATGTGTTTCTTTGGTAATAAACACTTCAGAATTATGTAGGGTAAGAACATTGATGTACTATTTCTGGAAATGTTCAAAGAGTCTACATATTCTCTGATTTAGGTCACTAATTTAGAAGGATTATCTCCCAGATTTCTAACCTTTAGGTTTACTCCGTGGCTGGTATGGTCGGCACTGTGTTAATTCACAGTTCAGATGAAGGTTAGCGATTTCCACAGCATCAATAGCAAAACCAGATTCCTCTGTTAAAGCACTTCAGAACATATGGGGTGAATATTTTAAATGGTAGAATGTGAAGAGGTGAGAAATGAAATTGAGGAAAGCCAAAAGATTTACTGTAACACTGGAATAAAGTATGAAAATGTGGCTTTGAAAAGTTTTGAGGAGAAATTAACCTGGATTTTAGGTAATCAAGGTTAAATAGGTGAAAAGCATGAGTATTTTAGCAGTGAAACAAATTAAATAAAAGGGAACTTTAATTTGATTGATTGTTCATGTTATTTTTCTAAAGTCTGTGTAACTATTTTGAGTTTTACCTTCCAACGTGTATTACTTTCTAACTACGATCATCTGTAACTTTTTTACATCCCTGGCTTTGAAAATGATCAGGATAGCATTATGTACTCGTAGGCTATTAAGGACATAATGCCTTATACATAAATAAACTCGAAATGAAATGGAGTGGTTCTATATAAAATAAAAGTTTATGTCCTCTAACTGCCCTTTAGAGTACCATTAACTATTTGAGGACTTTCAATTTGTTTTGCTTTGCCAATGTCACGTTTTATTTTTAAGCCACGTTGATCCGTGGATGGGATGTGCATGTGGTTTAGAGTCAGAAAACCTTGGCCCCTGCCAAGGCTCCCCCATGTCCCACCTGTGACCTTGGGCAACTCACTGTTTTCACATCTGTTTTCTAAATTGTAAAACAGAGATGTAGTATCAAACATACAGGGAGCTCAGAGGATCAAATGAAGTATTTGTATACACTAGTGCATTTAGAAAATTCAAGAATAAAGAAGTTCGGGAATAAAGGAAATTTTCAATTGACCGTTTTTATTTCTAGGATTGTTAATAAATATACAGTCTTGCTTAGAGAGGCAATTTAATCTTTACATTTAATTTTTACTTAAAATTTTAATATATTACACAATTTATTACATAATTAATGTATTCCATAATACATTTAATAAATTAAAAATTTTACTCTTTCTTTGAATTATTTTATCTATACCAGTATTCTCCTATCTCTAATTAGTGAAATTAAGAAACAGTATGTGTAAGTATGTAACCAAATGCAGTTTTTTCTGGAATATTATTTTTCTTTATGTCCACTAAAATACTGTTAAAATAATTTTTGATATTTGAGTCTTAGGAAATAGTAGTGATGTGACTCCTCTTAATAAAGCAAGGTACTCTGGCTCTTTTCACATGTTTTTAAAACTTGAATCAATTTTTCGTACTTTAAACATCTTTCACATTTCTTCCATTTTATTTCATCTGACACTTTTAAAAAAATTTAAACCACATGTCTTTATAAACAAAGACAATACTTAAATTTCACCTTATGTTAGAGATGAACTAGTTGGAACATAATATCTGGCACGAGGGCATAATGTTTGAAATTTGAACAACAGTCACCATAACTAATTTCTGTTAAATCTGAACACATTATGTAAGGATATCTTTAATAGCAGAATTTCTACTCTTTCTAGATATTGTAAACTTTTTGGAGCAATAGGTGATTTGGTGACATTCTGGTTCTATAAAAACTCAAACATTTGAAATGCGAGAATGTAACTTGATAGGTATTTGAGTAAAAATAAATAAATATGCATACAAAACACCTACACTGAGTGACTTCTGTGTAATATCAAAGGAAAACCATTTTATGAATGTAAAGATGTTGAGAGGCAGTGAGGGTGCCTTGTTGGTAGGCAAAAATCAGAAATGGTTTTGCATGCATTAAGGAAAGCTGCCTCTGGAATTACAGAGTTCTTATCTGTAAATAGCAGTAGAGTTAACATTTGTCATAGGAATTCAGAATTCTATAGGTAAGTTTTATTTTGACATATATATGAAAGTAAAAATAATGAAATAAAATCGATGTAATGTTATTTGTACCATGACTGAGATTTAAGAATGCACATTTCATATATTAAATTGAGATTTATAACATAAAGAGTAGAATAGAATTCAAACAGAAGTTATTTTTTTTTCCTTTTCTCCCCTTCTAAATGTGAGAGAGAAAACTGAGGATTGTAACTTGTAAAAGTATATTTATTGATAGGTAGAATATACACTCATTTTTATCAAATTCGCTCAAATGGGATATGGGATATTTAGGAATGTTTGTGCTGCTAAAATAAGATCTATTTTTAAAGTGCCACATTGTATTCTGTACATTTAGAAAGAATTTTTCATGTGTTTTTGACGAGTGTTTTAGAATTTTCAAACTTGTTATTTGTGATATAGTATTGAAATTAAGTAACTATTAAAAGCTTGGATTGCTTTTTAGCAGTGTTTGTTAAAGTTGACTGGACTTTATAGAAAGGAAAAAAGTTTTCAAAAGCATTTAAAAATAGTTTGTATTATATATTCTTCAATTCTACTTTGTTAATATTCCCTGTAAGGAATTATAATGATAATATTGGAATAGTTATGCCAATAATTTGCATGTTGTACAGTCACAGGACTGTTCGTAGTATTCCAGATGTAAATAGACAGCCCACTCCTACCCTTTTTCTCAGCAGAATAACAAATAACAAAATGAAGTCATTGTTTTTGCATGAAAAAATCAAATCACCACTACCACCAACCAAATATGGTAACATAATTGAAAGGTATTTTAATTGGCTGAAATTCACTTCAAAAAGCAAAATAAATATGAAAATTAAAATGAAAAGACTAATAACCAATAGCAAAGATGAATGTAACCCTTATCATTTCAAAGTTAAGTCTTATTATTAGTCACTGAATGGATAAGCATTTATTTAGAAATTAAGCTTTTTGCCATATCAGACATTTTATTGTCTAACTTTGAACTATAATTTACAACATATGATTAATTCTTTTTAAAAAGTTCAGTAAGTTTGAATTACAGAAGGTAAGAATTACCAAAATCAGCGAAATCTATTTCTTACCTTAGTTGCTGTGATGATCACAATATATAGAGTATTGTGAGTGGTATGAAGTCTTATCGGCGTTTAGCTGGAAAGTTTTCTCTGTTACCAGATTTATGGGAACAATTGAAGTTGGTGGAGGAGAAAAAGTGTTCTAGGGAGGTCTTATGATGTCACAGAGAAAGTCTGAAGTTATGATTGGTTAGCCCTAGTCTTACCACACCCAAACTTTTTAGAATATCATTTATCTTATTTTAGGTATGGAAAGGTCATTAACACTTTGTGCCTCATTTTAATTTTTAAAAGTATATGAGAGATAAATGAAAAAAATGTTTGGGGTGATAGAAAGCTCTTTTTAAAGACTTGTGTATCTTTGGGCTTAGAAATGATTGTATGCTGATGGTGATAATGTTGAAGAACTAAAATAGTTATAGTAATAGGAATTTTAATAGAATGAAAATAATAGTGGCTTAAGCCAAATAAGCTTTATTGAGTTGCTGTTGCTGCAGGTGCTTTAATATTGCAGCTTCATAATGTTAGCTTCTAGCAAGACAATAATTAAATATGAACTCAGCCTGCTTCACTTTCTTATGGCTAACTACAATGTGTTGCAGCAGCTGCTTATGTGCCCTTAAATGGAGATGATTTTGGCTTCTCCCAAAGAAAGATAAAATCATTCTCTAAACCAAATCTTTCATTATTTAAAGAATCAGCTAAAATGAACAGAAAAAATATTTCAGCGATGACCCTCTGTGAACATTGCTAAGGGAAAATTTACAACTTAAAATAAAACTAAAAATGAAAATGTTGCATTAATAATGTTTGACATTTGCTCAGTGCACTACAAGCATTCCTTCTTTCAATCCTTGTATAATAAGAATCTCTTATTATCATCAGTTGCCGATGATGAATGAAATATAAAGCCTAGGCTTGAAATGCAAGCGTAAAATGGTTTGCAATAATTTGTCAAAGACAACACATGTGCTAAGAGAGAGACTGAGGATTCAAATCCGGATCTGTTTAGTTATAGCTCACTGATAGAATGGCATGCTGTGGGGGTGGAAATCATAATTTGGATGTAGATTTCATAGAGTAGCATATACATTAGCTAAGAAATTTTGATTGAGATAGATGAATTATTGAAAACTTTTACTATTTTTAGAAAGCCTGCTTTAAGTGTGTCTGCTGGTTACACATTCATTTGAAAATAAATCATTGTATCAGCATCTCTAGCTCTAAGAAAATAGAATTTGAATAAACTAAGAAACTGCCATAGACTGAATAAAATATGCTATGGATATCTCACATGTTGCTATATTTGCTTTAAAAACCTACATAGGTGTGCTTACACACACACACCACCACCACCACCACCACCACCTCCCACCACCTCCCCCCACCCCCCCAGAAGGATACTAACAAACTGGGTGTGTCAAGAGTTGGTAAATGGAGACAAAGATGTACTTTTCAGATTTGTTCAAGGGAGGGAGCTTCTGTGTTTACCCTTTTCCTTTTGGTTAGCTGCTGCTGTTTATTAGTCACAAATAGCGCTCTAGGAAGTGTTGTATTTTAGTTTTAGCCTGATTCAGCCTACACAGAAAGTTGTTTAGTAGGAGCGCTGGTGAGCTACAGTATAATCAGTAGTGTTCCTCAAAATTTCACTACTAGGGGCTGGAAATTGTTTTTAGAGGTGCTTTGTCAGAATCTTTATTTTGAATCAAACTATATAATTTGAATTTATATAGACACAACCATATACAGCTTCCCTAAGCTGCCTTGTCTGTTATGAGGGTTTAATGAGATGAATTATGTGTCATTACTATCAGAGATCCAGCAAGACAGTGTCCATTTAGTGTTAGTATTTAGGCTTTCTTTTCCTTTAGAAGAGGATTCTTAACCTACAGCCCATGGGTAGAGTTCAGTGGTCTTTGAACTTGAATAGGAAAAAAATTATATCTTTGTTTTTATTAAACTTTAAATGAGATTTAGCATTTCTTCAGTTTTGACTATAAACCACATGCTGCAGAAATGTTAGCAGTACATTTGACTGTCACTGTAGCAGTCTCAGATAATCTGATATATTACAGTTGTTGCAGATAGTTTGAAATACTGTTCACATTAATCACTACTTTGAAATTACCATGATTAAACCTACCTGTAAACATTGTTATTTATTGTGTTAAAGAAGCACAAATATTACATCTCAAATTTGTTTTTTAAAGTAAGTATTTCAGTGGAATTCATTTTCTTTCTAGTTGTGTGCATCTTAAATTTTGAAAAAGTTTTATTTTAGGACAGTTGTAAATTTACAGAATTACTACAAATACAGTACAGAGGGCTCCTGTAGAGCCTGCACCTGGTTCCCCTGTTGTTAATACCCTCTATTAGTATGGTACATTTGTCACAATAGTTAACCTCAATGTTAATAGAATATTTGAACTAAAACCCATACTTTATTTAAATTTCCTCATTTTTCCCTAGTGTCCTTTTTCTTTTTCAGGATCCTATCCAGGATACCAGGTTGAATTTGGTCCCCTGGATTGTGACATTCCTCAGACTTTGCTTTTTTTTTTTTTTAAAATAACCCCAACCATTTTGAAGCGTGCTGGTCAGATATTTTGTAGAATGATCCCCAGTTGGGATTTGTCTGATGTTTTTCTTTTTTTTTTAAAGATTTTTATTGGGGAATTGGGGGGATGGGAACAGACAAGTTGCTGTCGTTTTGTTCTTCAATCTAGTTGTGGAGGACGTTGCTTCACTGGCCCAAGTTGGCACCATCATTGCGCTCTTCCCAGGCGAGGCAGCGGCTTCTGGACGGCCGCTCACTGCGGCTGCTGGCCACTCACGCTGGCTGCTGGCTACATACGGTAGCCCATGGCAACCCACTGCCACAGGGGCTGCAGCCTACACCGTCGCTGGCGACTCATGGCATCCCAGCTCCAGGTTGAGCTGTTTTTCAGCATCTTAGCTGTGGAGGGCAGTGTCACTGGCCCTCATATGTGGGATCCGAACCGGGGCCCTCTGGCATCCCAAGCCAGTTCTTAACCATCGCACCACTCGGCCGGCCCCTGATGTTTTTCTTATGGTTAGACTGGTTGATGTGTTTTTGAGAGGAATACCAGAGAGGTCAAGTGCCATTTTCATCACATATCAAAGTGTGTATACTATCAATATGATATCACTGTTGCTGTTTGCGTTGATCACCTGGCTGAAGTGTAATGTTCGTCAGGTTTCTCCATTGCAGTTACTCTCATCTGCCCCCTGACCTACTGCACTCTCCAGAAGAAAGTCACATGCACAGCCCACACTTAGACTTCACTACCTGAAGAATTTCAGAATGTCTATAAAAAGTATTTGGAATCCTATGTGTTTTGTGTATATAAAAACATTCTGAGGACAGATCAGTAGGTTTTAGCAGTCTGCCGGAAAAGTCCATGGCACACACACAAAAAAATGAAGAATTCCTGTGGTACAGAATGTTTTTGTGGTTCAATGTGGTGGTCCTTTCTTGAAAGAGGAGGGCTGAGCTCTCAAAGAGGCTAAAATCCTAACTCCTTAGTTTGCTTTTTTAGGCCCTGTCTTTCGAGCTTCATCTCATCACATTCTTTTGTATTCTGTCTCTGGCCTTGTACAGCTGCCAGTGACACTCTGAACAGGCTATTGTTCTATTTTCAGCCTCCCTACTTTTTGTAGGAATGTCCTTCTTACCAACCTTTATGCCCATCAAAGTGCTGTCAGTTTATATGTGCTGTGCAGCCCTCACTGCCTTATGTCAAACAATTTTGCATGTACCTCTGTTATCTGTCTCTTTTTAATGTATTTATTAGTGTATGTACCTTGACTAGACTGCAAGTTCCTTGACAGCTAATCCAATAACTCATATTTATATGGCTCTTTGTTCTTTATAGTACTGTTACCTCATGTAGAACCTGGCTCATAGTAATTCTTAAATATTGATTGAATGAATGATTGGATGAGTGAATAAAGGGGGAGCCAAGAAAGATTGCAAGGGTGGTAGTAAATGAGTGATCCTGTAGAATTAAGTGTTAGGGACAATTATAACATCCTTCTCAATTTTAAGATCGTTGTGGAGGAAGTGGAGAAGGATAATTCCATATATTATAGTTGTAGATAGTTTGAAATAGTGTTACGTTAATCACTACTTTGAAATTACCATAATTAGACCTGCTTGTAAATATTTAATGTGTTAAAGAAGCACAAATATTACATCCCAAAAATGTTTTTTAAAATAAGTATTTCAGTGTAATTCTTTTTCTTTCCAGCTCTGTGCATCTTAATTTGATTGGGAGATTAGGGCTAAAAATAGAATGAGAAAAAAACTTTTTTTCTTATCCTTCAAATATATTTTAAATATATTTGGGGGTAAGAGTGAAGGAAGGCCAAACCATAAAGCCCACACTCCCTAAACTGAACCTTTTAAAAACTTGAAACTAAATTTTTTCTTTCTTCATTGGATTCATACTAATTCATAGTACATACTTTATTTACTCTTATCTGCCTTCATTTATGCAGTTACTTAGTTTTTATTTTATTATAATAGTATTTTTTGAAATTTTAGTAATAAGCACCTCTAAGATTATCACTTAAAATAAAAGCCAGGATGTTAATAACATATCTAACTACATGTTTTTGTGTTGTTTCCCCTATTTTTCCCCACCCAAGCAAATGATTATTTCAAATCCTGGGTTTATTTCTTTTCACTTGTTTTTATATATAGTTTTGTGGCATTTTTAAAAATGTATTCCTTAAAAGTAGTTTTTATTTTACTTAGCTTTATATAAAGAAAATCCTGATGTATGTAATCTTTTACACTGAGTATTTAAACTCCAACTTGTATTAATAGTTGTGTGTCGGAGACAAAAGAAGTTTTAAGGTAGATAAGTTTTTCTGGAAACATTTTGACAAAAAGTCAATTCAAGTGGTAATGAAATTAAAGCATTTTAATACTTAGACAAATATATTATAGTAAAACGCAAGCTTTGAATAAATTTTTGTGATGCGCACAATGTTTTAAAGATAGGAGGTTTTTAAATTAGACCTCCTAGACACCCAGGAGGAGGATTTTGCCTAACCCTTGAGGATGCTGTATTATTAAAAGTTGGAGAATT